AAGGTCCTAACTCCCAGGTTGAGAAACAGTGATCTATTGGAAAGAGACCCCCAAAGTCCAGCCCCTTCACTGTGAGTTGTGTGTAAGTCAAATCATAAAGGGATCATGTTTCTGTTGCAGTGACGGTTGGTGGCTTCTCATTCCATCCTTCTCAGGTGACCCAGCTGGCCAGCTACTTTGAGCCGCTGGTGCTGGCGGCGGTGGGCCTGGTGTCCAAGCTGATGAGCCACCAGCAGCAGATGACCCTCCTAGACCAGACGAAGACCTTGGCCGAGTCCGCACTGCAGACGCTCTACGCCGCTAAAGAAGGAGGAGGAAACCCCAAGGTTGGCATAACAGAGAGATATACATACCTGGGCCAACTTGGGCCCTCCCTCCAAGTGTTTTGGACTCCCAACTCCCACAATTCCTACCAGAAAGTAGGCTGTTAGGAATTGTGGGAGTTGAAGTACAAAACACCTAGAGGGCCTAAGTTGGCCCAGGCCTTGTCTATAGATTCTGTGTGTGATTCTGTGTTGTCGTTCCTCCCTGAAGGCCTCGCACACGCATGACGCCATCACGGAAGCCGCCCAGCTGATGAAGGAAGCCGTGGATGACCTCATGGTCACCCTGAACGAGGCCGCCAGCGAAGTGGGCATGGTGGCCAACATGGTGGACTCCATCGCTGAAGCCATGAGCAAGGTCAGCAGGGGGTGGCTGCCCTCCAAGGAAGGAATAGATAGACAGACAGACAGACAGACAGACAGATAGATAGATAGATATGGGTGGATAGAATTCTAGAGCTATGATGGATGGATGGATGGATGGATGGATGGATGGATGGATGGATGGATGGATGGACAGACGGATAAATGGATAGATAGATGGCAGATAGATGGATGGATGGATATGTTGATGGGTGAGTGGGTGGGTGGAATTATTGATGGATGGATGGATGACAGATAGATGGCTAGATAGATAGATGGATGGAGGGATAGGAGGATGGACTGAATGATGAATGAGAGATAGAAAGATGGCAGATACATAGATGGATATGTAGATGGATGGATAGTTGGATGGATTGGATCATTAGTGAATGGATGGATGGATATGTGGATGGATGGATGGATGGATGGATAGATAGATAGATAGATAGATAGATAGATAGATAGATAGATAGGCCAATGGATGGATGGATAGTTAGGTGAACGGATAGATAGGTGGATGGATTGATTAATGAATGGATGATAGATAGATAGATATTTGGATTGATAGGTGGATGGATTGATTGATTAATGAATAGATAGAGTGATAGATTGATTGATTGATTGGTAGATAGATAGATAAATAGATAGATATTTGGATTGATAGGTGGATGGATTAATTCACAAACAGATTATAGACAGACAGATAGGCCGATGGATGGATGGATGGATGGATGGATGGATGGATGGATGGATGGATGGATAGGTGGATGGATTGATTCATGAATGGTTGAATTGATTGATTGATTGATTGATTGATTGATAGACTGATAGGTGGATGGATGGATTCATGGATGATAAATAGATAGATAGATAGGTAGGTAGATAGGTAGATAAGTAGATAAGTAGATATTTGGATTGATAGGTGGATGGATTGATTCATGAATGGTTGAATCAATAGACAGATGGATGGATGGATGGATGGATAGGTGGATGGATCGATTCATGAATAGATGATAGATAGATAGATAGATAGATAGATAGATAGATGGTAATTGGTAATTTGGTAATTGGAGATGTGTGTGTGTGTATTAATGGGAGATAGATAGGTATGGACTGAAAATAGATAGATAAATATTAATTAGATATATATATACATACATTGATGGATGTTAATTGGAGAGAGATAGCCATGGACTGGGGATAGATAGATAGTAGGCTTGGTTGATCAAGAAAAAATTGGGTTCTAAACTCGTTTTGTATCTCGGGGGCGCCCGCGTTTCTAATCTGAGAGGATTTCCGAAATTTCAAATTTCAAAATTTCGATATTTACGAAATTTCGTAAATATACGAATCGATTCGTTAATGGCGGACGCGATTGCGCAATACGCAAAAAAAACCTCCAAACGGGACGGGGGAACTTCTGAAGCTTCCCTCTCCCTCTGTGGTTGACTGTTGGTGGGATACAACTAACAACAACTATATATATTATATTATGTTATCAAAAAACTGTCCCAAGCCCAGAGCACGTCCAAAAGCAGAAGATTAAGTCAGAATGAGATGTCCATCCAAAAACAATCCGAAGTCAGAACGGAGTCCGCACTTACAGGAATCCAGTCTTTAAAATGCTTTAAAACGGCTTGTCTTAACCCAGCTAAACGTCTTCCTATTATTATTATTCTATATTATATTATATTATTATTATTAAGAATGGATGGCCATCTGTCAGGGGTGCTTTAATATACAATTATATTAATATAATATAATAACATACAATTATAACATATAATATAATAATAATATAATATAATACAATTATAATAATATAATATACAATAATAATATAATAATATAATAATATAATATAATAACATACAATTATAACATATAATATAATAATAATATAATATAATAATATACAATTATAACATATAATATAATAATATAATATAATAATATACAATTATATTAATATAATATAACATACAATTATAACATATAATATAATAATAATATAATATAATATCATAATATACAATTATAATAATATAATATACAATAATAATATAATATAATATATAATAATAATAGTTTTAATATTATATTATATTATTATTATTAAGAATAGATGGCCATCTGTCAGGGGTGCTTTAATATACAATTATATTAATATAATATAATAACATACAATTATAACATATAATATAATATAATATAATAATATAAAACTATTAAAACTATTCTTATTATATATTATATTATATTATTATTGTATATTATTATTGTATATTATATTATTTTTTGAGGTCTCTTCCAACTCTTTGATTCTATGATTCTATATTATATTATTATTATTATTATTATTATTATTATTATTATTATTATTATTAAGAATAGATGGCCATCTGTCAGGGGTGCTTTAATATACAATTATATTAATATAATATAATAACACAATTATAACATATAATATAATTATAATATAATATAATAATATACAATTATAATATAATATAATAATACATACGAAAATAATTACGAAAATTGGAAAAATTGTTTCGCTTCTCAATTACTCCTCACACTATTCCTGCATGGCTCGATATTGGATCGAAAGCTAATTTAAATACGAATTCATAACGAATTTGGAAACTAACGAACACGATCAACCAAGCCTAATAGATAGAGATTGAGAGATGAACTGGAAATTAATAAATTAGCACTAAAATGAGCACTAACATGAGAAAGACAGGGTACAAATGTATGAAATTAAAAATTAACAATAAATAAAATGCATGCATGCATAGATAGATGGATGAGATAGATAGGGAGATAGCCATGAGTTGGAGGTAGAGGCATCCATACACACGCACATACTCTTATCCTCCTGCCCTTGCAAGATGGCTAACTGTGCTCCTTCCTCCTTGTTCTTCCTCCTCTTCCTCTTCCTCTTCCTTAGCTGGACGAAGGCACTCCTCCAGAGACCAAGGCCTCCTTTGTGGACTACCAGACCACCGTGGTCAAATACTCCAAAGCCATTGCGGTGACGGCCCAAGAAATGGTAAGAGATGGGATGTTTATCCATCCCACACGGGGATGCCAGGAAGTATTCTGTCCTTATTTTATCCGATCATGGTTCCCACTCCAAAGCTGGCTGGCACAACCTGGGGATCACAACCAGACACAGTGAAGACATCCGCCCTTGTGCGCACCCAAATACCTGGGAGGCACTCTGGACCGTGCTCTGACCTACAAGAAGCACTGCCTGAACATCAAGCAAAAAGTGGGTGCTAGAAACAATATCATACAAAAGCTGACTGGCACAACCTGGGGATCACAACTAGATACCTGTGAAGGAATCCCACTGGAGCATTGCAGCGCACCCAAATACCTGGGAGTCACTCTGGACCGTGCTCTGACCTACAAGAAGCACTGCCTGAACATCAAGCAAAAAGTGGGCGCTAGAAACAATATCATACGAAAGCGGACTGGCACAACCTGGGGATCACAACCAGACATAGTGAAGACATCTGCCCTTGCGCTGCAAATACCTGGGAGTCACTCTGGACCATGCTCTGACCTACAAGAAGCACTGCCTGAATATCAAGCACAAAGTGGGTGCTAGAAACAATCATACGAAAGCTGACTGGCACAACCTGGGGATCACAACCAGACACAGTGAAGACATCTGCCCTTGTGCGCCCAAATACCTGGGAGTCACTCTGGACCGTGCTCTGACCTACAAGAAGCACTGCCTAAACATCAAGCAAAAAGTGGGCGCTAGAAACAATATCATACGAAAGCTGACTGGCACAACCTGGGGATCACAACCAGACACAGTGAAGACATCTGCCCTTGCGCTGTGCTACTCTTCCTGGGAGTCACTCTGGCCCGTGCTCTGACCTACAAGAAGCACTGCCTGAACATCAAGCAAAAAGTGGGTGCTAGAAACAATATCATACGAAAGCTAACTGGCACAACCTGGGGATCACAACCAGACACAGTGAAGACATCCGCCCTTGTGCGCACCCAAATACCTGGGAGGAGTCACTCTGGACCGTGCTCTGACCTACAAGAAGCACTGCCTGAACATCAAGCAAAAAGTGGGTGCTAGAAACAATATGGGGGTGCACATGAGATTCAATGGCACATGACACTCGAGGAAATACGGTCATTAAGCGTTGCATTGCCTGTTTTTAATATTATTAGTATTATTGTCAATCCCAGACAATTTCACCCTATGTCTGGAAGCTCACATGCAAATGTGAGTAGATCAATAGGTACCGCTCCGGTGGGAAGGTAACGGCACTCCATGCAGTCATGCTGGCCACATGACCTTGGAGGTGTCTATGGACAACGCCGGCTCTTCGGCTTAGAAATGGAGATGAGCACCACACCCCAGAGTCAGACATGACTGGACTTAGGGGACTACCTGTCTGGAAGCTCTGTCGAACTGGCTATGTGCTAGCAGACTGAAGGTGAACCCGGCGAAGACTGAGATTCTCTGGCATGGCCGCCCGGCACGTTGCCCACCTTCGATGGTGCCGCCTAATCTCCATCGACCACTGTCAAGAGCTTAGGTGTCGTTTTGGATTCGCAGCTGACAATGGAAGCTCAGGTCGCTGCTGCCAGCAAAGAGGCCTTTTTCCACCTACGACAAGCGAGGCAACTGGCACCCTCCCTATCTGACGAGGCTCTGGCAACGGTCATCCATGCCACGGTCACGTCTAGGCTGGACTATTGCAACGCCCTGTATGTTGGCCTTCCGATGTCTACAACCCGAAAACTCCGTATTGTTCAGAATGTGGCATCCACGCTACTCACAAGATCGCCCATGAAATGCCATAGAACACCAGTGCTGCAACATTGACATTGGCTTCCAACTGAGTACTGTGGCCTGTATAAGATGTTAGTTCTGACCTTTAAAACTCTTTACGGCCAGGGTCCATCGTACCTTAGGACCGCCTCTCCTTCTCCCATCATCGGAGGTCGCCACGACCATCCCAACGTGACTTACTCCATATACCGGGTCCTAGAGAAGTGCCCTTAGAATCATAGAATCCTAGAATCAAAGAGTTGGAAGAGACCTCATGGGCCATCCAGTCCAACCCATTCTGCCAAGAAGCAGGAATATTGCATTCAAATAATCCCTGACAGATGGCCATCCAGCCTCTGTTTAAAAGCTTCCAAAGAAGGAGCCTCCACCACACTCCGGGGCAGAGAGTTCCACTGCTGAACAGCTCTCACAGTCAGGAAGTTCTTCCTCGTGTTCAGATGGAATCTCCTCTCTTGTAGTTTGAAGCCATTGTTCCATTGCGTCCTAGTCTCCAGGGAAGCAGAAAGGAAGCTTCCTCCCTCCTCCCTGGGGCTTCCTCTCACATATGTATACATGGCTATAGGACCAGGCGCAGGTGGGCTTTCTCTCTTTCTGCCCCTGCCTTGTGGGATTCCTTGCCGCCCTACGTGAGAGCCATGTGTGACTGAGGGCCTTTTACTCTCGCACTTAAGACCTGGCTTTTTACTAGAGCATTATTCGATCTCTGTTAATTTTTAATTTCTGTATGTATGTATTTTATCTTTTACAATTTAGCTGTAAATCGCCTAGAGCATTCTCGGATGGAAGGCGATTAATAAGTTATTTATTTATCATGTCATCCGCAACCAGAACATTGTATTACATTTCTAACAGAACAAAACAAACAAACAGATAAAAAAACACAAATTTTGCAACTTGGTAGTTGATTAAATGTCCTTTGACCAGTATCTGGCCACTTGGAGTGCCTCTGGTGTTGCCGCAAGAAGGTCCTCCATGTGCATGTGGCAGGGCTCAGGTTGCATTGCAGCAGGTGGTCAGTGGTTTGCTCTTCTCCACACTCGCATGTCGAGGATTCCACTTTGTCATTTCTTAAGATTGGCTCTGCATCTCGTGGTGCCAGAGCGCAGTCTGTTCAGCGCCTTCCAAGTCGCCCAGTCTTCTGTGTGCCCAGGGGGGAGTCTCTCATCTGGTATCACCCACGGGTTGAGGTGCTGGGTTTGAGCCTGCCACTTTTGGACTCTCGCTTGCTGAGGTGTTCCAGTGAGTGTCTCTGTAGATCTAAGAAAACTATTTCTAGATTTAAGTCGTTGACGTGCTGGCTGATACCCAAACAGGGGATGAGCTGGAGATGTCTCTGCCTTGGTCCTTTCACTATTGGCTGCTACTTCCCGGCGGATGTCAGGTGGTGCGATACCAGCTAAGCAGTGTAATTTCTCCAGTGGTGTAGGGCGCAGACAACCCGTGATGATGCGGCATGTCTTATTAAGAACCACATCCACTGTTTTAGCGTGGTGAGATGTGTTCCACACTGGGCATGCATACTCAGCAGCAGAGTAGCATAGCGCAAGGGCAGATGTCTTCACTGTATCTGGTTGTGATCCCCAGGTTGTGCCAGTCAGCTTTCGTATGATATTATTTCTAGCGCCCACTTTTTGCTTGATGTTCAGGCAGTGCTTCTTGTAGGGCAGAGCACAGTCCAGAGTGACTCTTCCCAGGTACTTGGGTGCGCTGCAATGCTCCAAGTGGGTTTCCTTCCCAGGTCATAATCCTCAGAGCTCGGGATGCTTGTCTGTTCTTAAGGTGAAAGGCCCATGTCTGTGTTTTAGGTGGATTAGGGATCAGCTGGTTTTCCCTGTAATAGGCAGTATGAGCACCTAGAGCTTTGGAGAGCTCCCTGCTTGAGCAGTGATGGCACGATCATCAACATAGATGAAACTTTAATAAGTAATTCAATATGATGATGATGATGATGATGATTATTATTATTATTATTATGCAAATAAACCAGTCAATTTGTATTGATTAGGCTGTCTGTGTCCTTGCAGATGACCAAAGCGGTCACCAACCCAGAAGAGCTGGGAGGACTGGCCTCGCAAATGACCACCGACTACGGACATTTGGCTTTCCAGGGCAGGATGGCAGCCGCCACAGCCGAACCAGAAGAGGTCTGCAATAAATATTATTATTATTATTATTCTGACACAAAAGCACAAAAGTATGTCACAGCAAACGAGACCTATATGCTGGATTTCGTATCACAAAATCACAAGTTGAACACTTTCCAAGAGTCTAGGACTGTGTGATGTATTATTATTATTATTATTATTATTATTATTATTATTGTGACACAAAAACACAGTGTGTTACCGCAAACGAGATCTATATGCTGGATTTCGTATCACAAAATCACAAGTTGAACACTTCCCAAGCGTCTAGGACTGTGTGGTGTATTTTCGAATGATGCGCGCAGATCCAAGTCAGAAGGCCTTACATAGATGATGATGATGATGATGATGATGATGATGATGATGATGAATTATTATTATTATTTGAAACACAACAAGATGAGTCCACAGCAGACAAGATCACTCTGCTGGCTGTTGAATTGGATCACACGTCGGACACTTCCCAAGTGTCTAGGACTGTGTGATGTATTGGCGAATAACACGTGCAGATCCAAGTAGGGTGGCCTTTTGCAGCTGACAGGTGGTGATTTTGTCAGTGCAGATTGTGTTTAAGTGCAGGCCAAGGTCTTTAGGCACTGCACCCAGTGTGCCGGTCACCACTGGGACCCCCTTGACTGGCTTGTGCCAGAGTCTTTGCAGTTCGATCTTTAAATCTTCGTCTCGTGTCAGCTTTTCCAGTTGTTTCTCTTCAATCCTGCTGTCACTTGGGATTGCAACATCGACAATCCACACTTTGTTTTTTAACACGATCGTGAAGTCAGGAGTATTGTGCTCCAGAACTCTATCAATCCGAATCCGGAAGTCCCAGAGCAGCTTGACGTGTTCATTTTCTTTAACTTTTTCAAGCTTGTGATCCCATCGGTTCTTTGTCATAGGCAGATGGTGTTTGTGGCACAAGTTCCAATGAATCATCTGAGCAACGGTGTTGTGCCTCTGCTTGTAGTCCGCCTGCGCCATCTTCTTGCAGCAGCTCAGGATGGGATCTATTGTTTCATCTGCTTCCTTGCAGAGTCTACATTTGGGATCTGTCATTGACTTTTCAATTCTGGCTTTGATGGCATTTGTTCTAATGGCTTGTTCTTGGGCTGCCAGAATCAGGCCCTCCATCTCTTTTTTTTATATTTAATTTTGCCTACAACCACATTGCATACGTTTTATATTTGCACTAGCCGTCCCCTGCCATGCGTTGCTGTGGCCCACTCTAGTGGTCATGGGGGTTCTGTGTGGGAGGTTTGGCCAAATTCTATCGTTGGTGGAGTTCGGAATGCTCTGTGATTGTAGGTGAACTATAAATCCCAGCAACTACAACTCCCAAATGTCAAGATTCTATTTTCCCCAAACTCCACCAGTGTTCACATTTGGGCATATTGAGTATTCTTGTAGAGTTTGGTCCAGATCCATCATTGTTTGAGTCCACAGTGCTCTCTGGATGTAGGTGAACTACAACTCCAAAACTCAAGGTCAATGTCCACCAAACCCTTCCAGTATTTTCTGCTGGTCAGGAGAGTTCTGTGTGCCAAGTTTGGTTCAATTCCATCATTGGTGGAGTTCAGAATGCTCTTTGATTGTAGGTGAACTATAAATCCCAGCAACTACAACTCCCAAATGACAAAACCATAATTTTTGAGTGATGGTCACTCCTTGTGTTGTGAGACGTTTTGTTGCCAAATTTGGTGTGATTTCGTTCATTGGTTCTTTTGTTTTTAAGGTACTCATTATGCACAGAGCATTTATATATATATAGATGATAATAATAATAATAATAATAATAATAATATTATTATTATTATTATTATTATTATTATTGCTATTATTATTATTATTACATATTATTATTATTATTGTATTTATATATACCCCGCGTTTTCCTTCCACAAGAAGGACCCCTTAGTATTACTATTGTTGTCAAAGGCTTTCATGGCCGGAATCACTGGGTTGTCGTAGGTTTTTTTCGGGCTATATGGCCATGTTCTAGAGGCATTCTCTCCTGACGTTTCGCCTGCATCTATGGCAAGCATCCTCAGAGGTTGTGAGGTCTGTTGGAACTAGGAAAATGGGTTTATATATCTGTGGAATGACTGGCGTGGGGCAAAGGACTCTTGTCTGCTGGAGCTAGGTGTGAATGGGTTGTTGTAGGTTTTTTCGGGCTATATGGCCATGTTCTAGAGGCATTCTCTCCTGACGTTTCGCCTGCATCTATGCCAAGCATCCTCAGAGGTAGTGAGGTCTGTTGGAACTAGGAAAAAGGTTTTATATGTCTGTGGAATGACCAGGGTGGGACAAAGGACTCTTGTCTGCTGGAGCTAGGTGTGAATGGGTTGTTGTAGGTTTTTTCGGGCTCTATGGCCATGTTCTAGAGGCATTCTCTCCCGACGTTTCGCCTACATCTATGGCAAGCATCATCAGAGGTAGTGAGGTCTGTTGTAACTAGGAAAAAGGGTTTATATTATTATTGTTGTTCTTATTCTGTTGATTCCTAATTCTTTCCCCCCAGATCGGCCTCCAGATCCGAACCCGGGTGCAGGAGCTGGGCCACGGCTGTATCTTCCTCGTCCAGAAGGGTGGCGCTCTGCAGGTCTGCCCCACCGACGGCTACACCAAGCGGGAGCTCATCGAGTGTGCGCGGGCCGTCAGCGAGAAGGTCGGTGCCAAGGAAGGCAGGACGAGGCTCTCTTTAGGAGGCTAGAACAAGGAGAGAGAGCTTCGGGGGAATTAAAGGGCCCCATAAAACGAATACTATGGCCTGAGATGGGACAGCAGGGTCACAGGGTCAGGGTCCGGTGACCCCAAAACCTTCCCTTGGGCTCGGCAGCAATTAACAGAGTCATTGAAATGTATTATTTTCCTTCATCATCGATTATATCGCTGTTGTTGCTATACTGCCACGCCATAAAAGGCCTTGGGGAATTAAAGGGTCATCATAAAATGAATATTATGGCCTGAGATGGGATGATGGGATCACACGCAGGGGCGGCTCGTCCATTACGCAAAGTAAGCAGTTGCGGTACACTTTATTTTTGCCAGGGGCGCAGAGGCGCCTCTGTAAATGCCCCTCGACCGCCACTTGAGGAGCGAGTGCCCCCTCGGCTCACAACAGCCCTCGCAGTTCGGGGGGAGCCTCGGCTTTCTTGCCTCGCTGCCGGGCAATCCTCTTCCCAAAGGGGCCAGGCCCTTGAGCCTCGCCTAGCCCCTCTCGTTCCTGCCCCACCCGGCCACCGAGTGCATGAGCAGAGCCAGCACTCAATCGTTTCGGAAGTCCTCAGAATTTCGAAACGCTAGCGCACCCTAGAAACGAAACGAGTTTAGAACCAATTTTTTTTGATCACCCAAGCCTAGTAGTTACTGGGATGTATAGTTCACCTACAATCAAAGAGCATTCTGAACTCCACCAATGATGGAATTGAACCAAATATGGCACACAGAACTCCCACGACGAAAATAAAATATATATCAATGATTGGTGGGGGGGGGGGGCAAAATACAGTTTGAAAATTACCTAGGGCCGCCTCTGATCACACGGTCAAGGTTCGGAGACCCTGAAGCCTCCCCTTGGGCTTTGCACCAAATAGTGGGGTCATTGAAATATATTGTTTACTTTATGGCCAATTTGTCACCATTGGTTGTCACACTTCAGTGCGGTCAACCACTTTGGGCTTTGGGGAATAAACAGATCTTAATTTCTTTGTTCCTAGATGGGATGGTAGGGTCAGATTAGTTTGCTGTGTTGGTCAAGTGTCCCCTTGGCGCCTCTCTATCCCTTGCAGGTCTCACTGGTGCTGTCCGCTCTGCAGGCCGGCAACAAGGGCACCCAGGCCTGCATCACGGCCGCCAGCGCCGTCTCCGGCATCATCGCCGACCTTGACACCACCATCATGTTCGCCACCGCTGGGACCCTCCACGCCGAGAACAACGAGTCCTTCGCCGACCACAGGTCAGGGATCGGGTTGGGTGGTCTTTGGGGGGCCCTCTCACATCCATGATACTGTCTCTTAGCTCATATATGTATATGGGCCACCCACAAATTACAGAAATACGAGTTAAGAACCAGGCTGGACTGGATGGCCTTTGGGGGTCCCTCCCAAGTCTATGATAACATATCTATTTCATATATGTGTGTGTGTAAGTATGTATGAGTGTGTGTATATATATATATATATTAGGCTTGGGTGATCCCAAAAAAAAAAGGTTCAAAACTCGTTTCGTATATAGGGGGCACTGGCGATTCGATTTTGAAATTATTTCCGAAATTTTCTTGAAAAAAAGATCGGAAATATCAGGAAATACGAATCGCTTCATTTGCTTCGTTAATGGAAGGTACCCCTCCCTCCCTCCAGAACCATTAAAATCTCGCAGTTTCCCTTCCTTCCCTTGCGGCGAGCTGTGATGCAGAGGGACGGGGTGGGCGTGGCTAAGCACAGCTCTTCCTGAAGGCCACACCCCCAATGGCCTTCAGGAAGAGCTGTTCTTAGCCACGCCCATCTCGTCCCTATTTGCATCGCCGGAGCCCCTTGATGGCGGCACCCAAGGGGAGAGCTGAAGACGGAGGAAGAAGGGAAGGAGGAATGATAGAAGGGAGGGAGGAAAGGAAAGAGGAAAGAGAGAAGGAAAGAGGGGAAGGATGAGGGAAAGAGGGAGGGAGGAGGCAGGGAAGGCATGAAGGGAGAAAATGGGGGAAGAGAGAAGGAAGGGAGAGAAGGAGGAGGGAGAGAGCCAAGGCTGACTCCAGGCTGTTGCCAGCACAGGCTCCGCCACGTGGAGCTCTCCTGTGTGTGCGAGCGCATGCGCACCCCCTCCCTGTGCGCATGCCCAGTGGCATCTTCTTCTTTTTTAGGATTTGTAAGTTCTTTCTTTTGTTTTTTATTATTGATGGTCACACCTTGTATGGTGAGGAGTTTTGTTGCCAAATTTGGTGGGTATTGGCCCAGCGGTTCTTTTGTTTTTAAGCCACTCATGACGAGAGAGCATTTTTATATATATTGATATAGATCTCTCTTTCTCTCTCTCTCTCTTTGTATCTCTTTGCAGGGAAAACATCCTGAAGACGGCGAAGGCCCTGGTGGAAGACACCAAGCTGCTGGTCTCGGGGGCAGCCTCCAGTCAAGAGCAGCTGGCCCAAGCTGCCCACTCCTCGGCCTCCACTATCACGCAGTTGGCCGAAGTGGTCAAGCTGGGGGCCGCCAGCCTGGGGTCCGACGACCCCGAAACACAGGTACTTGATTCCAACGTGGAAAGAGGTTGGACTAGATGACCTCTGGGGTCCTTGCTAAGCCTATTGGGATGTGAACCGCCTTGGAAGGAGGTGGGTTTTCCTTTGAAGGCCGTCAAACAGAGTCCAAAGGGGGAAATCCACCAAGGGAATCCGTTCTCTCCAAGAAATCCTTCCTAATATTTATATGAAATTCCTTTTTGGCTTTGGCATTGGCCTCTGTGGTTGGGAAGGGGCCCCAAAAGCCCACCTAGTCCAAGAAGCGCCCCAAAATTTGAGGTGGCATCAGGATTCATAGGAAATCATGGGGTGGCATCAGGATTGAGATACGTCTTGAGTTGGACTCCAGTTTAATTACAGTTCCAGAGGAGGTGACCGAGGCACATGCTTGTCCGGTTTTGTGGGATTCCTTCCAGCTTGTTCTTCCTGAGGACGTGGAGGAGGTGGACCAACTATCTGGACCAATCACAGTCTGGCTTTAGGCCCGGTCACAGCACCGAGACGGCTTTGGTCGCCTTGGTGGATGACCTCCGTAGAGAGCTGGGCAGGGGGAGTGTGACCCTGTTGGTTCTCTTGGACATCTCAGCGGCTTTCGATACCATCGATCATGGTCTCCTTCTGGGTCGACTCTCTGGGATGGGTCTCGGGGGCACAGTTCTGTCGTGGCTCCGGTCTTTCCTGGAGGATCGTTCCCAGATGGTGAAGCTGGGAGAACACCTGCTCGGACACCTTTGACCTGTGGGGTCCCGCAAGGTTCCATTTTATCTCCCATGCTTTTTAACATCTACATGAAACCGTTGGGCGAGGTCATTCGGAGTTTTGGAGTTGGGTGCCATCTCTACGCAGATGCCACGCAACACTATATTCCAAGGAAGCCCCTCAGGTGCTGGACGAGTGCCTGGCCGCTGTGGCTGTCTGGATGAGGAGGAACAAGCTGAAGATCAATCCCGACAAGACAGAGGTCCTCCTGGTCGATCGAAAACCGGATCGGGGTATAGGGTGGCAACCTGTGCTGGACGGGGTTACACTCCCCCTGAAGTCATAGGTCTGCAGTTTGGGAGTCCTCTTGGATTCATCGCTTACACTTGAGGCTCAGGCGTCGCGGTGGCCAGGAGGGCCTTTGCACAATTAAGACTTGTGCGCCAACTGCGACCATACCTCGTGAAGGCGGATCTGGCCAGGGTGGTCCACGCCTTAGTCACCTCCAGATTGGACTACTGTAATGCACTCTACGTGGGGCTCGGAAACGGCTCGGAAATTCCAGATGGTCTAACGGGCGGCGGCCAGGTTGGTAACTGCGGACCTGAGACTTCAGGGGGAGTGCAACCCCGTCCAGCACAGGTTGCCACCCTATACCCCGATCCAGTTTACGATCGACCAGGAGGACCTCTGTCTTGTCGGGATTGATCCTCAGCTTGTTCCTCCTCATCCAGATAGACACAGCGGCCAGGCACTCGTCCAGCACTCGAGGGGCTTCCTTGGAGTTAGGTGGAAAGAGTAGTAGAGTTGTGTGTCATCTGCGTAGAGATGGCACCCAACTCCAAAACTCCGGATGACCTCTCCCAGCGGTTTCATGTAGATGTTGAAAAGCATGGGAGACAAAATAGAGCCTTGCGGGACCCTACAGCGGTCAACCCTCCTGTTTAAGGAGCTCCACTGGCTGCCATTCATCTTCCGGACCCAATTCAAGGTGCAGGTTCTTACCTACAAAGCCCTGAACGGTTTGGGACCCTCCTACCTGTCAGAGTGAGACCCTGGGGTCTATGCACAGCGGAATTGAGGTTACCAGATCACACAGACGCAAAACAGGACGCACTGCAGTTTTCAGTTTCAAAAATAACAAAGTTTACTTAGCACATCTCAAGACAGGTCTACTTCCAAGCGGGCTACATCATGAAGACTACAAAGCACAGCACACACAACAGTTTCCAGAACATCTGCTTATCTCATTTCTCTCTGGCTGGATCCTCCCTTTTTCTTCCCAGGCAGGAAAATTTGTTATCTAACTTCTGTCAAGGTCTTTACTCTCTCTGCCTCTAGCAACAACAATTCTAGCATACAATTGAACATAACTGAATCCATTTTGAATACATATGAACACCATTGTTAAACATATTGAAACACATTGAAAAACATACATGCATACTTTCAATAATCCTGACACTACCTGCATTACCGCATTTCTGTATATGAACCCATACTATCCCTTCGATCATCTGGAGATGCCCTGATTGCGCTCCCACCTGCATTGCAGGCACGATTGGTGGGGACAAGAGAGAGGGCCTTCTCAGTGGTGGCCCCTCGACTCTGGAAGTCACTCCCTAAGGACATCAGGCAGGCCCCAACTCTGGCAGTCTTCAGGAGGAATTTGAAGACGTGGTTGTTCCAGTGTGCCTTCCCAGAATAATGAATCCTCAGCACTTTGTCCTCTAAAGCACTTTATATCGATTTAGGTCTGTTCGTATGTCTCCACTACGCCCACTTCCTTATCTCGTCCATGACCAGCATCATTTTAAATTTTTAATTACATTTGGCCCAGCCATAGATTTTAAAAGTGTTCTGTACTATTCTCAATACTTATGTTATTGTGTATGTGATTTATTTTAATTGCATGTATTATTGTTGCTATTGCTTGTATTGTTGTATTGTGGGTTCGGCCTCATGTAAATCGCACCGAGTCCCTTGGGGAGATGGTAGCGGGGTATAAATAAAGTATTATTATTATTATTATTATTATTGTAAAGGAGGGTAAAATTACTGCCACCAAATTTGTGAGGAAAGCCGGGCAATGATCAATATCAGCTTAGGAGCTGGTTTATAAAGAAGGATTTACTTATTTGATAGCGTAGCGTTTACTGTCCCTGGTTTGGTTTTACTTCTTATGCAGGCTGTTTGACTTAGGAGAAACTGTATCAGGCAAGGCTTGAGGATAGGCTTGGTTGATCAAAAAAAAAAATTGGTTCTAAACTCGTTTCGTATCTCGGGGGCGCCCGCGTTTCTAATCTGAGAGGATTTCCGAAATTTCAAATTTCAAAATTTGCGATATTTACGAAATTTCGTAAATATACGAAAAGATTAGTTAATGGCGGACACGATTGCGCAATACGTGAAAAAAACCCTCCAAACGGGACGGGGGAACTTCTGAAGCTTCCCTCTCCCTCTGTGGTTGACTGTTGGTGTGAGAAAACTAACAACAACTATATTATAATATATTAGATTATCAAAAAACTGTCCCAAGCCCAGAGCACGTCCAAAAGCAGAAGATTAAGTCAGAATGAGATGTCCATCCAAAAACAATCCGGAGTCAGAACGGAGTCCGCACTTACAGGAATCCAGTCTTTAAAATGCTTTAAAACGGCTTGTCTTAACCCAGCTAAACGTCTTCCTATTATTATTATTCTATATTATATTATATTATTATTATTAAGAATGGATGGCCATCTGTCAGGGGTGCTTTAATATACAATTATATTAATATAATATAATAACATACAATTAAAACATATAATATAATAATAATACGAAATAAATTACGAAATAATTACGAAAATTGGAAAAATTGTTTCAATTCTTAATTACTCCTCACATTATTCCTGCATGGCTCGATATTGGATCGAAAGCTAATTTAAATACGAATTCATAACGAGTTTAGAAACTAACGAACACGATCAACCAAGCCTATTTGAGGAGAACAGTAACAAATTTATTTAACAGGAGTATAACATATTCAATTGTTTCTTCACAAGAGGCACAAATCTTGATTGGTTACATTAGTAAGGTTTCATTAGTAACTTTAGGTACAGACTTTAAGAGATTTCTTTGAGTAGATATATCTTTCTTCAACAAGCGTTCTTTTACTACAAATAAGCCAAACCCTGATTCTTAATATTAAAGAACCAGTCTTCCCTATAGTTCTCTAACTATAGTATTCCTGATGGTTTTCCACACACCACAGGATCAACTACCTTCTCCTGTAACTCTTTGGTCACAGACTAGTTCCCTGTTTCTCCCACTAGAGAAATCAGTCTTCCCTGTAGCTCACCGGCTTACAGACTGCCACTTTCAAACAGCTGCCCCGTGAAGTGACAGTTGGCTCCGCCCCCGTTGCTATGGCAACTCAGCTCAAGCCAAACCAGCCACTATCTCTAACAAAATATAATCCTACATACTTACCATTTATTAACTACTGTTTAAACAACACATAACCATAGGAATAAAAATTACACTTCGTCACATTATTATTAGGGGGCCACCCAAAGGCCATCGAGTCTGGCCCATTGCCAAGCAGGGAAGGGCCAAACTGAGTGGAGTTTTCCCATGTGTTGCAGGTGGTGCTGATCAACGCCATAAAGGACGTGGCCAAAGCCTTGTCGGACCTCATTGGCGCCACCAAAGGAGCGGCCAGCAAACCTGCAGATGACCCTTCTATGTACCAGCTCAAAGGGGCGGCCAAAGTAAGGAAACGGCATTTATTTTTATTTGTTTTTTTATTTTTATTTCCCATTTAATAATAATGATATAGCTGTAAGGAACAACAACAACAACAACGATCTATATAAATAAAAATATAATGTTCGTTTGTGGGATTAACAGAACTCAAAAACCACTGGGGGAATTGACACCAAATTTGGACACAAGATACCGATGAGGCCAACGAGTGACCATCACTCATAAAAATACTGGAAAACACAGCAGAAGGGTCTTAAAAAGCAATAATCATCATCATCATCATCATCATCATCTATATAAATAAAAATGTAATGTTCATTTGTGATATTCACAGAACTCAAAAACCACTGGGGAAATTGACACCAAATTTGGACATGATACACATAACAACCCAATGTATGTCCTTCACTCAAAAAAAAAATATTTTTGTCATTTGGGAGTTGTAGTTACCGGGATTTATAGTTCACCAACAATCAAAGAGCATTCTGAACCCCACCAACGATGGAATCGAACCAAACTTGGCACACAGTTCTCCCATGACCAACAGACAATACTGGAAGGGATTGGTGGGCAGTGTCCTTTGGTTTTGGAGCTATAGTTCACCTACATCCACAGATCACTGTGGACTCAAACAACGATGGATCTGGACCAAACTCTACACGAATACTCAAATCCCCAAATGTGAACACTGGTGGGGTTTGGGGAAAATAGAATCTTGACATTTGGGAGTTGTCGTTGCTGGGATTTATAGTTCACCAACAATCAAAGAGCATTCTGAGCCCCACCAACGATGGAATTGAACCAAACTTGGCACACAGTTCTCCTATGACCAACGGAAAACACTGGAAGGGTTTGGTGGGCAGTGTCCTTTGGTTTTGGAGTTGTAGTTCTCCTACATCCAGCGATCACTGTGGACTCAAACAATGATGGATCTGGACCAAACTCTACACGAATACTCAACATGCCCAAATGTGAACACTGGTGGAGTTTGGGGCAAATATAATCTTGACCTTTGGGAGTTGTCGTTGCTGGGATTTATAGTTCACCAACAATTAAAGAGCATTCTGAATCCCACCAACGATATAATTGGGCCAAACCTCCCACACAGAACCCCCATGTGGGCCACAGCAACACGTGGCAGGGGATGGCTAGTAGTAGTAGTAGTAATAATAATAATAATAATAATAATATGTCATGCTCAGGCATAAAAGTTATTGTTAGTAGTAGCATTATTAGCATTATTTTCTTTTGCTTTGCAGGTGATGGTGACCAACGTGACGTCTCTCCTGAAGACAGTGAAAGCGGTGGAAGACGAAGCCACGCGTGGAACAAGAGCCTTGGAAGCCACCATTGAGTACATCAAGCAGGAGCTCACGGTAAAAGCTCTTCTTGCGTCTGCAATGCGTATTTATTTTTTTACAGTACTTATATGCTGCCTTTCTCATATGGAAGGGGGCTCAGGGCTGATCACAGACCGGCAAACATTCAGTGCCGATTATACTATGACAAGACAGACAACAGATAGATGTATTTATTTATTTATTTATTTGCAACATTTATATGCTGGAGAGACTTATTTTGCATAGAATTACGGAAAAAATAGACCCCTGTCTTGTTGCAGATCAATATCAGATCAATATATTTACCAGGTTTTCATTGAGTACCTTTGGAGAAGGAAGAAGATTGAGAAACAGCTTGGCAGGGTTCCAGTCGTTTATTCTTACTCCAGAGTAAGGGTGATCAGCTTAACCAAAGGGCTGATGCACCCCGAATGTCACATTTAGTCCAGTTTTTATAGTATGGAATTGCTAGTTTTGCACATGCGTATAACAACTCTGCCACGTATACAATACAATCATTAACAGGAATTTTATATAAGAATACAATTCTGGCAAGATCATTATGACCCCAAACATTTGTTCACTTATATAACCATTAACCTTTATCCCTTATCCCCAGATGACATGTTTAATTGTTCTAAATTTCCTTAGATTTCTTAAATGAATAACTTTATATATGTCTTTAACATAAAAGTTGATCAAGGCAATCTCCTTATCAATTCTGCTGTAATTACTCTGTTAATAATTTAGTTCCCCGGGAATTTATTATCAAATAGAACGTTTCTGAAATTACTTGCTATTTACATCAAATAGTCAGGAGATGGCGCTCTCTCACTATATGACCTTAGATGTTCCAGTCTCGGATCGATATCTATTGATCTATGTGTTTGCCAGTTTTCTGGTTGCTTCATATGTCAACATTTAGCCTGTGTAAACATGCAACCTTTGATCAGTTCAAGTTGACCTCTTTATCGATCCATATCATCTGTTGGTTCTTTCCTTACTCTGCAAAAATCTTCCTCACGCTGGTCTTTTTTCAGAATCCAGGTAGGAATCTTTTTAAATAATGATTATTATTTTATTTTTCCCCTTGATCCCACAGCAAGCTGGCTTCAGGAAAGGCAAAAGCTGCACATCGCAAGTGCTGAACCTGACTCAGCACATAGAAGATGGCTTTGAAAGGCAGCAGATCACAGGAGCTGTCTTCATAGACCTGTCAGCGGCTTATGATACTGTGAACCACCGCCTCCTCCTGAGAAAAATGTATAATATCACAAAGGACGACCACCTCACCCACCTCATAGGAAACCTGCTACAAAACAGGAGCTTTTTTGTTGAGTTCCAGGGCCAGAGAAGCAGATGGCGGAAACAGAAGAACGGCCTGCCTCAGGGGAGCGTGCTTGCTCCATCCATGTTCAACATCTACACAAAAGACCAGCCACTGCCAGAAGGGACAGAGAGTTTCATCTATGCTGATGACCGTGCCATTACTGCTCAAGCAGGGAGCTTTGAGATGGTTGAACAGAAGCTTTCCGAAGCTCTAGGTGCTCTTACTGCCTATTACAGGGAAAACCAGCTGATCCCCAACCCATCTAAAACACAGACATGTGCCTTTCATCTCAAGAACAGAGAAGCATCCCGAGCTCTGAAGATCACCTGGGAAGGAATCCCACTGGAGCATTGCATCGCACCCAAATACCTGGGAGGAGTCACTCTGGACCGTGCTCTGACCTACAAGAAGCACTGCCTGAACATCAAGCAAAAAGTGGGTGCTAGAAACAATATAATACGAAAGCTGACTGGCACAACCTGGGGATCACAACCAGACACAGTGAAGACATCTGCCCTTGCGCTGTGCTACTCTGCTGCTGAGTATGCATGCCCAGTGTGGAACACATCTCACCACGCTAAAACAGTGGATGTGGCTCTTAACGAGACATGCCTCATTATCACGGGGTGCCTGCGCCCTACCCCACTGGAGAAATTACACTGCTTAGCCGGTACTGCACCACCTGACATCCGCCGGGAAGTAGCAGCCAATAGTGAAAGGACCAAGGCAGAGACATCTCCAGCTCATCCCCAGTTTGGGTATCAGCCAGCACGTCAACGACTTAAATCTAGAATAGTTTTCTTAGATCTACAGAGACACTCGCTGGAACACCCCAGCAAGCGAGAGTCCAAAAGTGGCAGGCCCAAACCCAGAACCTCAACCAATGGCTGATACCAGATGAGAGACTCCCCCCTGGGCACACAGAAGATGGAGCGACTTGGAAGGCGCTGAACAGACTGCGCTCTGGCACCACGAGATACAGAGCCAACCTCAAGAAATGGGGCCACAAAGTGGAATCGACAACATGCGAGTGCGGAGTAGAGCAAACCACTGACCACCTGCTGCAATGCACCCTGAGCCCTGCCACATGCACAAGGGAGGACCTTCTTATAGTAACACCAGAGGCACTCCCCGGGGACAGAGACTGGTCAAAGGACATTTAATCCACTACCAAGTTTGCAAATTTCGTGTTTTGTCTGTTTGTTTGCTTTGTTCTGTTAGAAATGTAATATAATTTGACTGGTTGTCCTGACACGACAAATAAAATAAGTAATGTTGCTTCTGATGATAATTGTGATGGTGATGATGATAGTAGTAGTAGTAATAATAATAATAGCCAAGGTGTATCCTGGCTGAGTTGTCCATCCGTTGTCCATTTCGGCCCTGGTTGTGCGCAGGTCTTTCAGTCGAAGGAGGTTCCGGAAGGGTCGTCTTCCCCGGAGGAGTCCATCCGGATGACCAAGGGCATCACCATGGCCACGGCCAAAGCGGTGGCGGCTGGCAACTCGTGCCGCCAGGAGGACGTCATTGCCACGGCCAACCTCAGCCGCAAGGCGGTGGCCGACATGCTGACCGCCTGCAAGGTCAGCACAGGGAAGGAGAGGGTATATATATTCCCAGTGGGGGTGGGGGGCA